TGCGAGGAGCAAGGAAATGCGGGGAGCATGGGAATGCGGGATGTGGGGAGCAAGGAAATGCGGGGAGCAAGGGAATGCAGCGAGCATGGGAAAGCGGGATGCGGGGAGCAAGCAAGGGAATGCGGGGAACATGGGAATGCGGGGAGGATGGGAAAGCAGGATGCGGGGAGCAAGGGAATGCAGGGAACATGGGAATGCGGGGAGCATGGGAAAGCGGGATGCGGGGAGCAAGGGAATGCGGGGAGCATGGGAAAGCGAGATGCGGGGAGCAAGGGAATGCGGGGAACATGGGAATGCCGGGAAAATGGGAATGAGGGAAGCATTGGAATGCGGGGAGCAAGGTAATGCGAGGAGCATGGGAAAGCGGGATTCGGGGAGCAAGCGATAGCGGGACGCGGGTGAAAGCGGGTGGAAGGAAGCGAGGGACAGCGAGATGCTGCAGCACGTGAAGGTGAGATGCGGACGTGCTTTCGAAAGCGGGAAGCGGGGATTTGGGAAGCAAGGAAGCGCGAGGACAGGGATAGCACGATGTGGGAAGCCGCGGGTGGCATTTTCGTACGAGGAGATCGAAGGCGGCGGGAAGCTATAGCGGCCCGCAACGGTGGGCCGTTAGCAGCGGGGGATTCGTCATTTGTTTCCTGCCCTTGTTTTCAGGCGCTGGTGATTTCGTCCAGGCTAGGCTACGCGCGCCAAGAACCTCAATTGATATCCGCGTTCACTAGCCTGACGTCGGTGTCGCCTCGATCCCATCTTATAAGTCGCTACCAACTCTCTAGCATGGCTACGCATGAGCATGGATCTAGGAGGAAACGAGGGCAAGTCGAGAAAATTACAGATCCCGAATTCGAGATCTGCTACCATCTTTCCCTTAGTCGTTTTTGCTGTCGAGGGAGCAGGCTGTGGGTTGGGTTTGCGATTGTTGTTGTTTGGCTTCGACCAATCGCATGGCCCCTTTTGATGCCCGAGGGGGTTGTTCAATTTCCTCACGGTGCATAGGGTTGGGACGTGGTATCTGGGTTTCGCAACCCATTGGAGCTGCGTAACCCAGCCTGGTTACAGGTCTCGCCGAACCTCGAATAGCGTGTGAGATATGGGTTGAGTTGGTTGGGGTTGGATTCAGTTAGTTTTTTTTGCAAATTGCACATATTTTATATATTATTATATTTCAGTTACTTATGCACAATTTTAAAACTTTGTAGAAGTTTAAGTATACAAAAACCAATCATTTATGCAAATATAAGCCACGGGAACATGTTTATTATTCAGGTGTAACATTCACAAAACAACTCATTCGCATAACATCCCATCCGCAGAAGACTCGCGAATCATTTACGTGTAAAGAAACGAGAAAAAAACATTTGGCGAACACTTGGCGGACGATTTCCGACTTTATGCCCGAGCTCGAATGGTGAAAACGATCTGTGAACGTTGCACTTTTTGCGATGCATCAGCCTGCTCCCTCTCTCACCACCAGCCTATTCTCTCTCTCACCATCGGCCTACTCCCTCTCTCACCACCAACTGACTCCCTTCTCTCTCACCCTAATACTGCTCCATCTCTCACCATCGGCCTTCTCCCTCTCACCATCCGCCTGCTCCCTCTCTCACCATCAGCCTGCTCCCTCTCTCACCACCAGCCTATTCTCTCTCTCACCATCGGCCTACTCTCCCTCTCACCACCAACTGACTCCCTTCTCTCTCACCCTAATACTGCTCCATCTCTCACCATCGGCCTTCTCCCTCTCTCACCATCCGCCTGCTCCCTCTCTCACCATCAGCCTGCTCCCTCTCTCACCACCAGCCTATTCTCTCTCTCACCATCGGCCTACTCCCTCTCTCACCACCAACTGACTCCCTTCTCTCTCACCCTAATACTGCTCCATCTCTCACCATCGGCCTTCTCCCTCTCTCACCATCCGCCTGCTCCCTCTCTCACCATCAGCCTGCTCCCTCTCTCACCACCAGCCTATTCTCTCTCTCACCATCGGCCTACTCTCCCTCTCACCACCAACTGACTCCCTTCTCTCTCACCCTAATACTGCTCCATCTCTCACCATCGGCCTTCTCCCTCTCTCACCATCCGCCTGCTCCCTCTCTCACCATCAGCCTGCTCCCTCTCTCACCACCAGCCTATTCTCTCTCTCACCATCGGCCTACTCCCTCTCTCACCACCAACTGACTCCCTTCTCTCTCACCCGAATACTGCTCCATCTCTCACCATCGGCCTTCTCCCTCTCTCACCATCCGCCTGCTCCCTCTCTCACCATCAGCCTGCTCCCTCTCTCACCACCAGCCTATTCTCTCTCTCACCATCGGCCTACTCCCTCTCTCACCACCAACTGACTCCCTTCTCTCTCACCCTAATACTGCTCCATCTCTCACCATCGGCCTTCTCCCTCTCTCACCATCCGCCTGCTCCCTCTCTCACCATCCGCCTACTCCCTCTCACACCATCAGCCTGCTCCCTCTCTCACCATCCGCCTGCTCCCTCTCTCACCATCAGCCTGCTCCCTCTCTCACCACCAGCCTATTCTCTCTCTCACCATCGGCCTACTCCCTCTCTCACCACCAACTGACTCCCTTCTCTCTCACCCTAATACTGCTCCATCTCTCACCATCGGCCTTCTCCCTCTCTCACCATCCGCCTGCTCCCTCTCTCACCATCAGCCTGCTCCCTCTCTCACCACCAGCCTATTCTCTCTCTCACCATCGGCCTACTCCCTCTCTCACCACCAACTGACTCCCTTCTCTCTCACCCTAATACTGCTCCATCTCTCACCATCGGCCTTCTCCCTCTCTCACCATCCACCTGCTCCCTCTCTCACCATCAGCCTGCTCCCTCTCTCACCACCAGCCTATTCTCTCTCTCACCATCGGCCTTCTCCCTCTATCACCATCAGCCTGCTCCCTCTCTCACCACCAACCTATTCCCTTCTCTCTCACCCTAAACCTTCTCCATCTCGCACCATCAGCTTACTCCCTCTCTCACCATCAGCTTACTCCCTCTCTCACCATCAGCTTACTCCCTCTCTCACCATCAGCTTACTCCCTCTCTCACCATCAGCTTACTCCCTCTCTCACCATCAGCTTACTCCCTCTCTCACCATCAGCTTACTCCCTCTCTCACCATCAGCTTACTCCCTCTCTCACCTTCTGCTGCTCCCTCTCTCTGCGTCTCCTCCCCGCCTCTCTCGTCTCCGTTCCTCTCTCCGTCTCTCCCACCCTAAATCCCTTCCCTTCTCACCCTCTCCCCCGCTTCTGCCCACTCTCTCCCGCTCTCCATCGCCCTGTCCCCATCGTTCGCCCGATTTCCCTGTCGCCCCCCCTATCCGCCCCTCTCCCGCCCTCTTTCCGTCATTCTCCCCTTCTCCCTCCCCTCGCTCCCCGTCTCTCCCCTCAATGCCCCTCTCGCTCGTCGCTCCCCCCCTTCCCGCTCCATCTATTCCAAAATGTCGCCCTTCCTCTCCCTTCCCCTTCCCCTACCTTCCCGGCGCGTAAGATCCTGACAGCTCTCCTTGTCGCGCGCACGGTCGGACTGCCTCACCCGCTGCAACTGCTCGCGTCTCTGACGCGGGCAGTGAGGCGTGACGTGGTAGGTGTGGCGCGGCTCGCGGGATAGATCACGGCGGTTCTGTGCGTCCGTCGACGTCTACGGCAGGCCGGATTTTTTGTGGATCTCGCGCCCTTTTCGCGGCCAGCGTGACCAGAATAGAGCATTGGCGGTCGCGTGAGAGGCCATTCACATCCCGCCCGCACAGTCGGTGTCCCGGCGTTTGGATGCAGGGTTCGTGGCGAGGATAGTATGACCATGCTGCATCCTCGTGCATCAGGCACGTGTTTTAATGGCATCGCGCATCCGGCGCGCATTTCAATGGCGGCGGGGCGTTTCAATGGCGGTAATGAGTTTCTGTCGCGGTCTACCTGAGGAGCTCGAATTCCCTCGTCCACGAAACTGAGGCTGGCAGTGGTGCGTGTTTCCTTACCGACGTACCTCTTAGTACGTGGTCCGCCTTGAGCACAGCCGTCTAGGGCGGTTGCTCGGTTCCCGTTGGGCGAGCTGGGGGTGGTGTGCCAGGCGACGGCCAGTCTGACCGCCCTGCACCTAATCAGGTCACAGCGCCAAGTGGTGTGGGACTGCTGACGGTCCGTGGGGCTGGTTGCTTCTACTGGAAAGTGCGGTACTGTATTATGGGTAAGGTGAGAGCAGGGGTTGGACGCTGGCGTGGTTTTGGAATTGGCTCGTGGTTCAGTGTTGTCGCATGGTAGGTTTGGGATCTGGTGGGCACGTTCGAGGTGCTCCCCTGGTTCGGGTTCAGGTTTGGGTTGATTTGGCGAACAAATCTTTGTCGCCAAATTTTCTCGTCACACTCTTTCGTGTTCGTACCTCGCCCTCTAATCCCGATGCAACAGTTCGCTTTCTAGTGTTAAACCTTTGTAATTATGAGATGGGGGCTTTAACAGCCCTATTTACACCCATAGAGCATGCCTGCATGTGACTGGCGACACGAACCACTTTGATTGGCTCAAAAGAGCGAAGAGTTCCTGCCTCTGGCGGCTGTCGCGCGACCGTTGGCAGGTTGGGGTCAGTCGCCTCGCATCGCATCGCGCTTGTTCCCCCTCTTTGTCGCATCCTTCCCTGACATGTCCCCACCACACAAAAACTCGTCAGAACGAAAACGCTTCGCCTGGTCTGACGGTTACCTTCCCGTTAGCGGGAAATTTCGTCTCGAACCGTCGTCGACCAATCGTGAGAATCTGCAGCTCACTTGGAATGTTCGCGAAAACCGCGGGTTCTGCTGGGCAACACGGTCTCCATGAACATGTAGCCTTCACTCTACCAGGCACGCGTACGTTGGATTGCGGTTGAGTGAGTTAGATTTAGGTTCAAAAGTTTAAACAATAAATAGAACGGTTGGATAGGGTTCTGAGCAAAAACGTTCACACTGCTCAGGAGACAGTACTACCTTCACCCTCAGCGATTCACGGGAGGGGGAGGGAGGGTGCATCATGGCTCAAGTTGGGTGCGGTCCAGGACCAGGAGTCGCCAGTAATAATCGCCGTCTGATTCGCAAAAACCATGTCATTGGGACTATAAGTAGGAGGCACTACTGCGTTTGAATCTCGTGTCCGTCACAGAAAGCAGGCAGCTCTGCGTAGCGCAGACGATTTGGGCTCGAGAGTGTTGTTACGGGTCGCATTCGCTACTACTTTGCGACGCGAACTCGCCGAAGAGCCGTTTCCATGGTTTAAGGAGGTACATTATATCGAATCCTCTTCGGGGCCGAAAGCCCGGTGATGGCGTTATCCTTCAGGTCAAAACCCATGTCGTTAGGCGACGTGCGCTATTGCGCACTCGTTTTATTTCTCGCGTGCATCGTGGTCGCGATCTGCTCTAGTAGGCTTTTCGTGTTAGACTCTAGCGAGATTCTGTCACCTATACCGCTCGCCCTGTCAGAATTTGTGTTCAGCGACGAGAGTAGGGTAGTAGGAGTTGGAGAAGATAAAGCAGTCAGGTTGAGAAGAGAGGAAGAAGGTAGGCTTTCCGGAGATGACGTGGCAATTGCAAATCCATCCCAGCCGTTGATCCCTGGAACGCGACTTTCCACCATATATGCGGTTCGGCAATTCGAGAGCAGATTTGATTGTCTAGCGTCGAGAGGACAGTGGATATTTGACCCTACTCCGAGATTCCTACCCTGGGATGGAACACTTAGAATTCGGTACTCCTCCTGCGACTACTGGTGGATCACAGATGCTCAGAAGAACATTTCCGGGCTGAATGGTGGTTCTGGGGCATCTGCATTTCGGAACATTGCATATGACGACGCGGATGGAGTGGCTCGGAGGAGGGGAGCCAAAGCAGTGTGGCAGGTTCGGCCGAGCGTGAAGTTTCGATGGGAATTGCCGAACCAGCAAGGGGGTGACGGTTCAAGAGAGCGGGGAGGGGGGGGAGGAGGGTTGGAAGAGTGTGGAGGACGGGAGTGGTGGGGAGAGGTGGACTGTCAACGGTTGAAAGCTGGGCTGGTCCCCAATGGAGGGAAGATCATGATAGTGGGAGATTCGTTAAACTTAGAGGTGTTTGCTGCCTTCAAGAACCTCATGAGTATGTGCCAGAAGAAGTGTTTTTTTGACGTGCGAACGAAATGGCGAGAGGAAAGCCGGCAGCAGTGGCTGCAGAGGCAGCAGAGGGCCCTTCAGCAGCAACAGCAGCAGCAGCAGCCACGAAGGCAACAGCTGCAGGGGCAAGAGAACCATCAGCACCAACAGGAGGTGAAACTGCAGGAGAACCACCAGCAGCCGCAGCACTGGGAAAGTCGGGATGAGTGGCGGCTGCAGCAACAGCAGGAGAATGAGAAGCAGCAGCAGCAACCGCAGGAGAGACAGGAGCAGCAGCTGGTGAGGCGGCAGCTACAGCAGCAGCAGCTGCAGCAGCAGTTAGCAAATAGGTTCAAGCAGGAGTGCCCCGGAGTAGAGATTCTTGGTCAGGAGTCCTGTGCGGAGCATCGGAGGATCCCTGAAATCAGCTGGCAGTGCGGAGAAATACGGTATGGGAACACTACAGTACTGTTCATCCGGAATGACCTTCTAAACACGTCGGACGATCACTTGATTGAGATCCCTCGCTGCATCAACACGCCTTGGATGAGGACGCTCAAGAAGGAAAAGCATAACGTGTCGGTGCTTCTATTGAATCGTGGAGCGCACTATGAAGAGAATGGCCTGTTCATCCCTGAACTCAATGCTACACTCCATGAAGTTAGAGAAGCTGCACCGAATACGCTTGTCATCTATCGGAGCACAGCTGTGGGTCATCCCAATTGCACGAGGGCTATCGTCAATCCGTACAACGAACCTCCTGACGCTAGTTCCTTCCCTTACCATTGGGGCGACTTTCACGAGCAAAACGTCATTTCAAAACGTTTGGTAAGAGAAATTGGAGGGATTTTCATGGATGTGGAACGGATGACGGCTTTGAGACCTGATGGTCACATGAGGCCTCCCACGGATTGCTTGCATTATTGCCTTCCAGGGCCTCTAGACACTTGGGTTAGGATGTTTTACCACATGCTTATACAATTGTTGTAGTTTGCAAGGATACTTAGTCCTTGCAATTTCTAGTAGTTCATTTTAGTTCCACAGGTATGCGCATGTTGAGGTTTTCCCCGTATAACGGAAAAACAACACCCGATCTGATTGGTTCGGCAACTGACACACAACGCAAGCGAAGTATCCCGCGCCTGCCGGCAGTCGCGACCGTTGGATGATGGGATCCTTTGCTCGCAAGCCCACGCTCCCTCATTGCCGCGTCACTGGACTGACCCCGCCAGTGGCAAAATGAAGCTTGTCAGAACGATGAGTCGTCGCCTGGCCGTCAGCTACCTGTCGCGCGGAGCTACAAGCCGTCTCGCCCATTCCCTGGCCAGTGGCGAGCATTCGCAGCACGATTCGCAACTTTTGCGAATGTACCAGGTTTCACTGGGGGGACATTTACCACGAATCCCGACCCTTCACAATTCTGCTCGATGAGATTCTAGCACTCAGAAAAAGGAGTAGTGATTCGCATTTGACGTGCTGTCGTGCAGTAGTCGCTAGCTAGCGAATGCCGCCTGTGATATGCAAAAACCATGCCATTCTGGCCATGGCTATGAGAGACTGATGCATTTGATGAGTGACCGTGACAGAAGCTAGTAGGCAGCTCGACGTACCGCAGACGGTGTGGGCTTGGTCTTAGAACTGAGAGAATGTTTGAGTAGTGAGAGAGTACAAGGGAATATACCTAGGTGTTGTACCCTATAAGAGGCGACCCTATACAGTCTAAACAAACATAACAGATACACATGTTTAACATGTCAGAAACCCAGTCACTAACCACTGGGTTAAAAGGGCTTATTGAATAGCGGGTAAGTGCGCCCATAGCCCCCTACGCTCTGCACCTGTGGCCCTTCCCCGAGGATCTCAAGGGCAACCCCAGCGGGTCACTCAACATTACACACCCCCTAGACTGCATAGGAGCAGGTCCTGAACAAACAGCGCAGGGCGGCACTACTAGTCCAGCCACTGAGACAAGGGTCTAAAAGACCAGTCAGAAGGAGTACAGGCAACACAAGAACAAGACCAGGGTGGCACTACTAGTCCAGCCACTGGGAAAGGACACAAGTCCGGACTGAGAACATATAGATATATAGGACAGTACAAAGCCAAGGCCCTAGCAACTGCGAGGCTACAGGAACTAGACCGAGCTGTACACAGTGCCGCTGATGATCTTTAGGCGCAAGCGCCTTCGTAAAGATATCAGCAGTGTTTGTATCAGAATTAGAGAAGTGAATGATGATAGAGTGAGAGTACACACAGATAAACCTAAGTGTTGTACCCTCTAAGAGGCGACCCTATACAGTCTATACAAACATGACAAATACACATGTTTGACACACCCCTTAGACTGCATAGGGGAATGTCCTAAACAAGCAGCTCAGGGCGGCACTACTAGTCCAACCTCTGAGACAAGGGTCTGAGAGACCAGTCAGAAGGAGTACAGACAAGGCAAGAACAAGAGCAGGGCGGCACTACTAGCCCAGTCACTGGGAGAGGACACAAGTCCAGTCTGAGTATACGTATAAAGGACAGTAAAAAGTCAAGGTCCTAGCAAGTGAGGGGCTACAGGAACTAGACCAAGCTGTACACAGTGCCGCTGATGATCTTTAGGCGCAAGCGCCTTCGTAAAGATATCAGCCGTGTTGGCACCTGAGGCCAAGTGTACTACGCGAGCCTGACGTCGCTGCTGTAGCTCACGCAGGAGGAAGCACCGCAGCTGAATGCGCTTTGCTCTGCCCTCGAGTCGAGGCTCCTGACACAGGAGGATCATGGCCCTGTTGTCAGCGAACAGGACCGGGGCAGAGCTAGGCCGCTCACCTAAGTCTGTGAGCAAGAAGGTCAGCCAGCGGAGCTCCTGTGCCGCCATGGCACCAGCGTAGATCTCAGCCTCACAGCTGGACTGCGCAACAGACGAGGAGCGGGTAGCTCTCCACGAGACGGCACCTGAGCCAAGGCTGAAGCAGTAGCCCTGGGTAGACCTGAGTGTCTCAGCGTCGTCTGCCCACGAAGCGTCTGTGTGTCCAGTAAGGACCACTGGCCTGCGTCCTCCTAGCACTAACCCCATGCCCGATGTACTAGCAAGATAACGCAGAACCCTCTTAGCGGCAGACCAGTGCTGTGGTCGGTGTCTGCCTGTGGCCACAAAGCGAGCCAGGATGCTGAGAGGGTATGCGAGATCTGGGCGAGTGCAAGTCATCAGGTACATGAGGCAACCCACCAGCTCTGCGTAGGGGCCGCTGGGATCTACCAACTCCTCAGACACTGGAGCGGAGAGTCTGTGGTCTACAGGCAGAGGGGTGGGCTGTGCAGAGGAAAACTGAAGGCTGAACCTCTGAAGGACCTGGCGCACCAAGTGTGGCTGAGTCAGGGTGATGGTGCGCGCAGCTCTGTCCCTGGAGATCTACAAGCCAAGGTAACGGTGCAGTTCTCCAAGGTCAGTGCACGTGTGTCTCTTCAGCAGCTCTGCCTTCACGGAGACCAGTGCATCCCTGTCTGCTGTGGCAAAGACCAGGTCGTCGACGTAAACAAGGATGTAGAACGGAGTCTGGCCAGCACGAACGAAGAGTGAAGGGTCTGCGGAAGACGGAAAGAACTGCAGGTCAGCAAGCGTAGCACGGAGAGTGTCGTGCCACTTACAGGGAGCCTGGCGCAGGCCGTAGACGGGGCGCCGCAGGAGCCACTGGGTCCCAGGAGGGAAGGTGCAAGTGAAGCCCTGAGGGCGACGCAGGTAGACCTGCTCGTGTAGGCTGCCCTGAAGGAAGGCAGTGGAGAAGTCGAGGGAGTGAAGCTCGTAGTCACGCTGAGCAGCTAGGTGTAACAGAACCCGAAGAGTAGTCATCTTCGGGGTCGGAGCGAAGGTCTGGAAGAAGTCCACCCCCTCGCGCTGACTGAAGCCTCTAGCCACATATCGCGCCTTGAAGACAGGCGGCTCTCCAGGAGGGCGCTTCACCTTGAAGAGCCAGCGGCCATCGACTACGTTCACCCCAGGTGGGGGAACTGCGTCGACGAAGGTGCCGGTGGATCTCCAAGATGCCATCTCCTGCTCCATGACAGCTATCCACTGCGAGGCCCAGGGTCCCGAAGTCGCCTCAGCGTAAGTGCGAGGGGTCGGGATGTCGAAAGCGTCTGGGTCACCCTCAGGGACTAGCAGCATGGAACAGAGATGGGGAGCAGCCTCGGACAGGAAAGCAAGCTCGAACTGGCGGTCCTCCAGGACGTCACTGCCAAGGGCAGGAGCACCCCCGACAGACGGAGGACAGGCAGGGTCAGAGACCAGAGCGGAGGCGTAGTCAAGGCGGCGGGTAGAGGCGAAGTCAGCGACAGTAGCGACAAGAGCGTCAAGGCACGAGGCTGGAACAGACGCGTCGGTAACGAGAGAGGCAAGGACCCGAGGAACAAGGGGACGAGCGGCACGAAGGTAGTCAGACAGCGGGGGGGGTGCAACAACAAGGGAGGACGGAGGAGGCGACGGCAGAAGGGGAGGACGAGACGCGTGGGAAAGAAGCAACATAGGGTGGGAGCGCAAGACAGGCGAGGCAGGACGAGCACGGGAGGGACGGTGAGACCAGACGTGCGACGGAGGAGTCGGGTCAGGAGACAGAGGAGGGGACACAGGAGGGGAACGAGGGGGGAGACGGGCCGGGGACGAGTCCGGCGGAGGGAAGACAGGGCCGTAGACAGGAAGAGGAGGAGACGGTCGGGGAGGAACCAACGCACGGTCGGGGGACGGAAGGCCGAGCAGGCGAAGGGCTGACACCGGCGGGGACTGCTGCTGCGGCGGCACAACAGCGACACCTGGACCGCAAGCTGCTCCTCGGCTACCACCGGCACTCTCCACACCAGCACCCCTAGAGGGACCACCCCCAAGGCTACCGGGACGAGCACCCCTAGAGTCAGCGAACGGGTGCTGCGACGGCGGCGGCGGCAGCGACAACGACGGCTGCAGCGGCGGCAGACGCGGTGGAGGGGGGGACTGGGGAGGGGATGCCAGGGGAGGGGCGGCCGGCGAGGACTGAACAGGAGGGCCACCAGAGTCAGAAGACTCCTCAACCGGGTCCACCGACGGAAGGGGGGTGACGTGGGACACACCAGAGTGGGCGGGACGGGGAGGAGGAGGAGGAGGGGTAGGGACTACCGGGGAAGGAGTGACCAGGAACAGGGGGGGGGTACCCGGGGGACCACGGTGGGGGAAGCGACGGTAGTAGGAGACGGACTCGTCAAAGGTGACGTCACGAGAGTGAAAGAAGCGGTGAGACGGCGGGTGGTAAAAGTGCCAGTCGGACGCGTCAAGGGGAAAACCGAGGAAGACGCAGGGAAGGGTGCGGGCAGTGAGCTTGTCCGTGCCGGAGGCTTCAAAGGAGGGTCGGGTGAGTGAGGGACCGACAGGAGCAGGGAGCAGCAACCTGGGTGAGCGCTCCAGCCGGGGGGGTCACGGTGTCCAGAGTGAACAGGCGGGACACCGGGTCCCGGGGGAACGTGGACAGGGGGGCACCAGTGGCGGCCTCGGTACAGACTGCATACCGCTCGTGACTAGGGAACGTAGTGGTGACGCCAAGGTCCTAGAGGCAGCCGACACCAACTAGGTTCCTGGAGAACGAGGGGATATGCAGACCTGTGAGAGTGCCCGAAGGAACCGCCGGACAGGGAAGGGTGGTGGAACTGCGGGTGACTACCGGACCGCCGGAGGGGTCAGCAAGAGAAACGGCAGCTGGAACAGGAAGCGGCGTCAGGGTGGTGGAGTCGCGGAAGAAACACCGAGAAGCGCCAGAGTTCAAGGTGAAGGAAAGCGAAGCAGAGGCGTCTGGCGACGGAACGACGGCGGAAGCACCAAGACTACACAAAGCAGGGGATCCTACGCCTGACGCAGCAGGGGAGGCTAAGCTAGGCACACCTACACTAGGCAACAGCGAGTAATAAGCGGGAAGCACACTAGAGTCATCAGCATACATCACATGCAGAGCAGAAACAATGGCATCCATGTCCAGATCAAAAATCTGAATCTTACGACTAAGCAAACTGTGCCAGTCCGGGAGGTCTGGCGACGGGCC